GCTGGTCCGTGTAATGCTGAGGAACAAAACACTGGTGTTCGGAGACGCAGCGGTTCTGCGGTTTGTTCTATTTTCTTTCTGACGGAGCAAAGCAGAATTTTGTGTCTGAAAGTTACTCTGTAAGTTGTTGTTTATTGTACATTTGCGATCGTGCAGATATTCGGGAAAAAAAACAACCAGGACTCTTGTTTGTGTAATAGGCTAAGTTCTATATCATAGGCATAGCTATGTTATAAAAACAGAAACTCGCGCGATTCAATACGTGTGTCCTTCTTCTATGTGAAATAATCATAAATACCAGTGTATGCTGTTTGATTGTGGCCTCGAGGGTCGTAGTTGTAATCTGTAGCCCTTTTTTTAAAGCAAATTAATTAAACTGAAAAAAGTAACTCGCGTTACTTTTTTTAAAAAGTAACTCGAATATTCATGTGTAAATTTATAAAGTAATGCGTTACTTTACTAGTTACTTCAGAAAAGTAATATTATTACGTAACGCACGTTACTTGTAACGCGTTACCCCCAACACTGGCAACCAATGCTTATAGAGAAGTCAACAATAACCTGAGGCTAAGCGGGCTGAGCTTTCTAGGTCACACCCAGCCTGGTTAATCGTTCCAGAGTATACCCGTAACTTCGACACCCAGGGGTCGAGAGCTAACAGGTGAACAATACCAGAGAACTTGGCTAAGGGCTCTCTGTCATGTCTGTTTACGCAGCGCGTGCCATTTCAAGCGGAAAGGATCTTCCAGGTTATAAAACCTCGCAAATGTGGACGGCGAGGCCCAGCTGGCCGCCTCACAAATATTCGCACCTCTTCAGTTGGAGGAAGCGCGGAGAGCGCAATGACCTGTGCTCTGAACGGAGTGGAGAGCACTTTAGGTACGTAACCGTGCCTCGTTTTCAGGATGACTTTAGAGTCGTTAGGCCCGAATTCCAGACAGGCAGGGCTAATTGAGAGAGCCTGCAGGTCTCCTATTCGCTTTACTGATGCTAGTGCTAGAAGCAGAGCAGTCTTTAGCGATAGCGACCTAATGTTGGCGAGTGGAACAGGCCAAGGGGCCGCTATCAGTAGCTGAGTCAGCTCTGTTAGCCACAGCTGGTTCATCCACAAGGGGTGAATTAACTCGGGTGACTGGCCGCATGGGGGCAGAACACGTACGAGTGATGGAAGAGGGAGTTTGCCCTGTCAAAGTGCTGCGTGGAGAGTGATGCAAGCAGGGCCTTGCCGGCTTTTAATCACTCACGCCTGATCGATCATACCCGCGAGTTTGCCATTTCTGCCTCCGAGTAACTGGGAGGAGAGAAACACTAGAGCAGGGGAGGCGGGGCTTAGCGACGCACACACAAATGCGAAGCCGCCCGCTTTTCGCTTTGATCTGCCTGGGAGGATTAAGCTGCTCGTATAACGAGGTGCACCGATCCCCATGTGTAACACACACTGGCAGATTAAGCACGCATGATGTGTGTAGAGGTTTGCTCAATTCTGACCGTTCAACCCGTGAGCTCGTCATTGCTTCCTCCGAGGTAGCTGGGAGGAGAGAAACATGAGCGCGGGGAGGCGGGGCCGTCTTCCACGAACGAACGGGGCAACTGCTTTTGTAAAAGCGGCCCGTGTCTGTGAATGCAGCCCTAGTGACACACACACAAATTTGAAGCTGTCAGCGGCAGTATCTGCTCCGATCTACTTTGTAGGATAAAGCTGCTCGATGTAAAGAGGGGCACTAATCCTTTTGTGTGAGACACGAATCGAAGCGCAGCGGGGAGGGCGAGTACGCAGGCTCTGTGTCGGCGTGAGATCGCTCAGACCCGGTTGCTTAGTTCCCAGGCTTTGTCGTTTCTCTCTCCGAGGCTTGCTGAGAGAGGAGAAACGTGGAGAAAAGCGAGACTCATGCTCGAGTGAGCATTCTGTCTTAGTAAGCGCGTAGCTCACTGCCCTTCTGCGGCGGATATGAGTGCAATGGAGAGAGAGCACGCAGGCACAGTGCCGGCATGAGATCAGTCAGACCGATTGCTTATTCCCTGACTCCGCTGTTTCCTTCTCCGAGGCTCACTGAGAGAGGAGAAACGGGAGATTTGGGCTGCTTTCCGTGAAGGCGGTCCGCGCGTGGAGAAGAGCGAGACTCATGCTCGAGTGAACATTCTGTCTCAGTAAGCGCGTAGCTTACTGCCCTTCTGCGGTGGATCCGAGTGCAACGGGGAGAGCGAGCACGCGGGTACAGTGCCGACATGCGATCGCTCAGACCTGGTTGCTTAGTTCCCTGACTCCGCTGTTTCTCTCTCTGAGGCTCGCTGAGAGAGGAGAAACGGGAGAGCGGGGCTGCCTCCAGTGAAGGCGGTCCGCGAGCGGAGAAGAGCGAAACTCTAGGCCTTTTGTGTACATAGAAAAAGTCTTAGATCTTTGAGTTCAGCTCATGAAAAATGGGGGCAAAAACAAAAGTGTTGCGTTTATACTTTTGTTCAGTGTATGTCCCCTCTGGATGCAACAAATGCCTCGTTTATAATGGGTTTTAATGTTTTTGAATCATCGCTCCGGCCGGACAGGGCATCACAGTATGGTAGGGGCGTAACATTTCCCCTACCACTTAAACTTAAATTATTTTAATTCATGAATGCTATATTTTAGTCCTAGTCATGGTCTCTTTCAAAAGACATTTTGTGCACTTTTTTGGTGAATTAAAAGCAAGCAGTAATGTAACTGAAATTAAAACAACATTACAGAAGCTTACATTTATTTTAAAGAAAATAGAGTAAAATTAAATAAGCAGTTACCTCAAGCAAAAACGTTCCACAGTGTCAGTGTTGCCAGTTAAGATGTTCTAAAAAGGCTATTTAAAAATACTGCATAAACATCAAGGGCAAATACACAATGATTAACTTGTGATTTTTACCTCTATATTGCTCTTTTTTCTGCTCCTCTTCTTTGTGTCGCTTCCTGCCTTGTGCCCCTAATTTTCGTTTTTCACTCATTGTTT